TGAGAATATTGAGGACTTTGTGGGGGCGACACGGAGAGGCTGGATTCGATTATTGTTCTCCCAAGCCCTCGTTTGTTATTGCTTGGACAGGTAAATTCCTTACCACAACAAATGTTGAGGGCTTGGTTGCATGCTTCATTGCAGAGGGGTGTTGTTCACTGGGTGCTTAGTTCCAGGACCTAGTTTTGGCTGTCAAGACAGGCACTTTCTATCATTTCTGAGAAAAGTGGACAGGTTTCTAAAGTCCACCCGGGTTAGTGAGACTAAACTTCAGATCCTACCACTCTCCCCCTCCCCCCGCCGCCCCGTGGGTATCTGCTAAATCTCCTGAGGCTTTGCAGTTTTCTTTTTTTTTTTTTTTAATTTTTCTGTTTTTGGTTTGGGGGCCACTCTTGGTGGTCGCCGGGGTTTATGCCGAGCTCTGCACACAGGAACCACTCCTGGAGGTGCTTGGGGGCCCCTATGGGGTGCTGGGCATCGAACCCAATCTGGATGTGTGCAAGGCAAGCACCTCCCGTGCTGTGCTATCTTCCAGCAGGCTTTGAGGTTGTGATGGGAACTTGGTTGTTAGAAAAGCCAGTACCATTTCCTGGAGCCATTTGTGGGCCAGCTGAGCATCTGAGGGGAACTCTCCAGCGCACTGTCCCTGCGAGGCATTCCCCTTTGGACCTTCCACTGTCCCCTCGATTTCCAGGTATTCTGGAGACCTCGATACCTCAAGTAAAAACAAACAACTGCCACCCTCCCACTCCCACTCCACCCCCAACCCCTAAATTTCCAGATTTATAATTTGTTCTGCTTACTGTGCAGTGGCTTGCATAGGACTAATCCTCTGAGCCCTGACTGACCCCACTGCCTGAGGATGCAGTTTGATAAATGCTCTCCAGAAAAAAAGCATTCCAACATCTATCCCACACCCGCCAGATACCTTCCTTCAAGGATGAAGAGTCTCAAACCCCCCACCTCCCACCACCCTTAGTTTCCACCTACATTTGCCTTTTCTCTCCTTGTATCAAATTGGTATGTTGTATAAATATTTAAATATTTTAAAAATATTTTTAAAATAAAAGGTAAAGGCCCTCCCGTTGTTCGTCGATTTGCTCGAGCGGGCCCAGTAACGTCTCCATTGGAGACTTTGTTGTTACTGTGTTTGGCATATCGAATACGTCATGAGGAGCTTGCCAGGCTCTGCCGTGCGGGCGAGATACTCTCGGTAGCTTGCTGGGCTCTCCGAGAGGGGCGGAGGAATCGAACTCAGGTCGGCCATGTTGGCTGAGTGCAAGGCAAATGCCCTACCGCTGTGCTATCGCTCCAGCCCAATTTTATTTTATAAAATATTATTTTCATTTATAAAATAAATATTATAAATGTATAATAATATAATATTATAAAAATATATAATAATATAACATTATAAAATTATATAATATATAATAAATATTATAAATATTTATTTATTTTATAAATATTTTGCCTGAAATCGTAATTACCTGGGGAAGATAGTTCTATACAAGCCACTTCACAATAAGTAGAACATACTTTAAATCTCGAAATATGGGAGGTTTTTGTGGGGCTCCCATGTAGAATTTAGGACACCCAAGGACTACTTTAGCTGGCCCGAGAGCTCCATACGGTGGCACTGTGGTTTAGGGGTCACCTGGCCATACTTAGCAGTGCATTGGGGCCTACCAGCGCTATGTCAAGTGATACTTTGGTGCTATGACTCAACCCAGGGTTAAATATTTGCTTTCTGAACCCTGCACTATCTCCCTAGGCCCTAAGTTGTGTTTGATAAATACTGAAATGTTACAAGAGGCATTGTAGAGTTGTTGGTGATTATATTTAGAGTAGTTTGTTTTCTTTTTTTCTGTGAAGCATTGCTGACAACACACTATTCATATTTTAAAACATAATATGATTGTATATGAGTTTTTGGGTTTTGGTGAAGGCAATAAGCAAAAAGGGTAGAAATTTTAGGTAGTAAAAATTTCAAGAGGAGTAGAAATTTTGAAAACTGGAACTTAGAAGAGACAACATTCTTCAAACATGTAACACTAGAAATTTTGGTCATGATTTTAATATGGACATCTAGTCTCTTTTTTGAAATAGTATTGATGTTTGTCAAATAGAGTAAAATGCAATTAAAATGTGAGCTCATTCCACAGTGAACTAGACTCAGGGACCAAATCAATTTTATTTACAGCCAGAGTGATCATTAATATGGTCTTTGAGATTCTAGGCTCCCCAGTAGAGCTCAGGTCTCTGGGAGATGCTCCTAGTGGTACTTCAATGGTCCTTGGAACTTAGGGTGTGGGTCCTGAGACCACCAAAGTCATATTTGGTATGGGGTCATTCATTACCAGGGTCATAGGCATGCAAGGCCCTTGTTCCAACTCTTGGTTCATCCTTCAGGTCCTTGGCCATAAATATTTTTAAAATAATTTGTGTGTACTGATCTACTGGCTTAATGCTCTCAGATGCACATTTGGCATGTTATATATGACTATAGAATTTTTTTTTAAAAAGTTCCTCTTTACCAGTCAATAAAACCAATGTACATGCCAGGTGTAGTCTCAAATAAAATTAATAAATACTCTTTCCAAGGAAAATACATATATAGAAATTCACATCTACTTTAAGAATGTTTCAAAAGCTCAATTTTTCAAATCCCTAAAATGTCAAAGATTTCCTTTGACCAAATAGTAGAAACCGATAATTATATCTGTGTGCATCCTTTAAAAATCAAAGAGATAGCTCAGTGGGTTGAGCACATACTCTGCTGGAGGTTTTATCCTTGGTTCTACATATTCCCCCAGGCACCTTGATTATTAAAGTAACCCCTTCTAGAGCAGGATGTAGCTTGGGACAGGGGAAAAAAGCATTATTTGAGCAGTACATGATATTACACAAAACCCTCCCCACTTTGGGGGAAATATATTAAAATAACTGGGAAATTATTTAAAGATTTTATAGAAATATTCTTAAAGAAATGTGTAGTCGTAATTACTGGCTAAACTATGTTCTGAGAATAATGTATGCTTTATTTTTCTTCATTATGAGGAATTTGTTTGGTGGCTAGCAGTGTTTGGTGGCCATTCCAAGCTTTGGCTCAAGGACCACCCCACAGTGATTGTGGGATTATGTGGTGTCAGATATGAAACCCGAGGTGTCCACATTCAAAGAAAGTTTCACATGCTCTCAGCTCACTGGGCTGTGTCTCCAGTCTCTATACTTCACCTATAAAAGAATAACTGACTTGGAATGAAGAGGAAACATAAAACAGATGCCTCGATTTTATCACATTTAAAAAAATAAGATATACATGACTTATACCCCAGAGCAAAAAAATGCAAATAAGAAATATTCCTCTACACATTTAGAATTCAGAGTGATTCTAACACATTGCAACAAAACATACCTCTCTTTAACTTCTGCACTACACTCTCTCAACATCTGCCTAACTACACATACTTTGAATGTTTCATTTTAAAACAACTTTATGTTGCATAAGGGAATAACGTGGAAATCACCATTCATTTCGGTCAGCATCACAGTTGCAGTAATACTGAGAATCGATGCAGTTTCCTTCCAATCCACAAGTGCATTTTTGAGGATCAAGCAAAGAGCCTCCCCAATATGTGTGCGTTTCATTCGTTCTTCCAACCCACCAGCTCAGAGGTGTTCCATCTGAAAGATAAGGGAGATTGCATCAGGATCCTCTTCTACCCTTCTGCCTCTAAACGGAATGAAAGGGAAAAGAAGGTCAAGATGGATTTGATGTAGTGAGGTTCCAAACATTGTAAGCATCAGCTTAAGCAAACTTAAAAAAATAATTTTCTTACATAAGCTTAAATGATTGATACATTTCTCTGAGTAAAAAAAAGAAATCAGCAATTCATATTTAATTCAGACACAAACGTAAAAAACAAAACAACCCAGAGACACTGTATGCAGAGCAGCTCATATATGCAATATCTTAATTTTTTGAACCAATAAAGGCATCAAAATATAAAGTAAAGCAATTAGCATAGCAGAAACTAAATTGGCTTGAGACCATGAAACAGCCAATAAAGCATTATGGAATCCCATGTAAGGTCAGTTAGTGATTTATCTCAATATACTTAATTGGCTAGCTGTTTATTAAGTGTTAGAATTAGCACTCTTGTCATGATTTTAGATAGATTGGAAGTATATGTATTTTTTCCTTCCATCTGTTGGCATGGCTATTTATTTGTAGACTACAGAAATAACGCTGAAAGATCTTTAGGCCTGAAGCAAATATTACACTCAAAAACAAAGTTTCCCTCCACCAAATGCATTTCTTTCTATGATGAATGTTTAGCTACCAGCTCTTTCTCACAGTTTAAGCGAAACACACAAGGCCAAGGAACCAGGGCAGAGAATAGAGGGAACATATAGTTGGAGGGTTTCAGAAAAAAAGAGGTTAGATACACAGGCAATACATCTTGGGGTTGGGTGAGGCAGGGGCGAGGAACAGCAGAAGAAAATGATAGTCATTTGAGAAGGTGATACCCAATCAGGCAGTTCTTCAAACATGCTTGATCGTTTTCCTGTTGATTTTCTAACCTTTTAAAAGGTATTGCTATCAGCACCATTGAGACTTGTGCTAATTTCTCCCTTCCTCACAAAATGCCAACGCTCATTATAACTCATGCTAGAGAGGGTCCCACAATGCCAACGACCTCTCACCTCTTTATAATACTGTACAAACCAGCGCCTGTTGGACCAGAGGAGAAGTTCTCAGACTGAATCCTAATAAGGATATGAAGATCAGGGAACATCACCTGATCTATTCAAACACAACAGAGGCTTAAGCCAACTTGAAATATTTAAGAGATACTTTGACAACACAGCTTAAAAACCTGTGTTCATGGGTCAAAGGGAGTATTAATCATTATTCCTCAATTTCGAATATTTTCACATCCTGTCTTTCCTATAGATTGGAAACACTGTGTTTTTTATGTTTTTTTTTTCTTTATAAAAATATGCAACGCCTCACGAATTTGTGTGTCATCCTTGAGCAAGGGCCATGCTGATCTTCTCTGCATCATTTCAATTTTAGTATATGTGTTGCTGAAGCAACATGACACTGTGTGTTTTAAAGGTGCCCAATATCTCTGGTTTAATTCAATATTCCTTATAACAAACCTTCAGACAAGTGTAAGGAAGAACTAAGACCATGAGAAAATTTCAGAAGTTAAAAATGAGAACTATTCAAAGCCCTTCTACTTTCCATAGTTAAATCCCCAAATGACTCACTATTCATACTCATCTCTCTTCCAAACTGCTAAGGGATGGAAGATTCAGGTTATATGAAAACATAATTTTTTCTTCCTTTTTACTGGGGGGAGGAGCAGACAACTGGTGGTATTCCTGGCTCTGTGCTCAGGGATCATTCCTGGTGGTGCTCAGGGAATAGGATGCAGTGCTGGCGATCAAACCCTGGTCAATGATGTGCAAGCAAGTGGACTCTCTACACTGAACTATCTCTATGATCTCCAAATATATCTTCTTCTAACATCTGCTTTACTCTTCCAAATTACACGTCACTCTTAACTAAAAACTGCTATTTCTTCAAGATCTGACGCTACACAACACATTTGGGGTACCACCTTTCTGTTCTTCTCTTTACACTGCTTGCTGTGAGCTCCAAATCAAAACCATCTTTCTCTTTTCAGTCTGTCCACCTTTACTCCATTCTCCCTGAATTCTTGGGCCTCAGGGGTGAAAACACCTGTGTGCTTCAACAATGACCATGGTTCCACAGCCTCCTCTCCTTGCAGCTCTCAAACCTCCCTGAAACACCCAGATATTCAAATAGTGGCCTGAGTATCCAGGGCCATAGGGTGGGGTCTTTCACATGCTCTGGACACCCCCCTGACTCTGCAGGGGGCTTGCCCACTGGCCCGTGGGAAGTTTATTTCAAATTTGACTCACTTGTGACTTGGATAATGTGCTTTCCTTTAGTCTTTTGTTTTCCAGTTGCACATCTCGGCACATGTTGGTCCATCCTAGCCATTCACCCTTCTACAGTCATGATTTTCACCCTGAGAACACACTTCCATATTTACCTATTTTCTTTTTCATTCAATGCTTCATATTCAGTCATGATGAGCCATTAGCTGTATACTCAAAGGGCAGGTGAAAGTGAATGCATGAACCACCTCTGAGCCGGGAACAAAAGCTCACTTCAGGCCCTTTCTATGTGTGAAGCCAATCCATACCATACCCCGTATGGTGGCAGTTAGCAACCCCATTAAAGAGGAGGGGAAAAGAAAGATGGAAAGATTCTTCCACCCAAGCTATATAGGTAAAGAAGAATGAATCACACTGTCCTCCCGTTGTTCATCAATTTTCTCGAGTGGGCCCAGTAATGTCTCCATTTTTTGAGACTTGTTGTTACTGTGTTTGGGATATTGAATACGTCATAGGGAGCTTGCCTGGCTTTCCTGTGAAGGCGAGATACTCTCGGTAGCTTGCCGGGTTCTCCAAGAGGGGCGGAGGAATCAAACCCGGCTGGGCCTGGCTAACTGTGCACAAGGCAAACGCTCTACCACTGTGCTATTGCTCCAGCCCAGGATTCTTCCACCCAAGCTCTATGGGTAGAGAAGAATGAATCAATGAAGTGGAATTTAGGTCTCCCTCTACCTCCTCTGCTCTTGGCACTGTAATCAGCTGATGGTCATTCACAGATGGGAGTGGGGTCTTCAGGGTATAAAATCTTAGCAGAAATAAGCAAGATTCAGCTCTCGGAGAACTGTCAGCACTGTCAGGAGTGTAGGGGAATGGAGGGAGGATTAAAGGAAGATATTCTTAAAAAGTGTAAACAGGAGGAACTTTTTTTTTTTAAAAAAAAGGTGGGAATGGGTTGTGGTAAAAGATGGGTACGGTAGTAAAGGCCCTTACTTAGAAATAAAATATCACACCAAATGCTCAAACTTGTTCTGCGTGATGCCTATGTATGGCAATATTCGAAACACAGTATTCTGAAAATTCATATTGAGGGTGAACAGTACAGGAAGTAAGGTGTCTGCCTGGTACACAGCTGACCTGCATTCAATTCCTGGCACCATATATAGACACCTGAGCAGTGTTAGGAGTGATCCCCAAACATGGAGCACTGCTGGATGTGGCCCCCAAACAAAACAAAAAGAAACAAATTTTAAAAATTCCTGTCATTTATCAGGAGTTCCAGTTTCTTTTAAGATGCTACAAGGGAGTCAATATGAGTCAAAGTCTAAGAATCTAGTTTCTACTGAAAATAACCATTCAATACCCATGCGAGCTCCAGCATATTGAGGGAGTGATACAAGGGATGTGTGAGCAGGGAGGGGCCAGAAATGTGATCAGCTGTCCAGTCAAACATGTCTGCAGTGGACAACTGGGGGACAGGAAGGAATTGGAGCTCCAGAAATGATGGAAGCACGTTTCTTAAAGACTTGGATGAAAGGTGATTCTGTTGTATTTTCTCCATAGAGTTGCATCCTTTGGACTAGGCACCAGATTATAAGGACACATGGGGAGGAGTCAAGCAGACAGCCGTGGGGACTTCAAAAATCACATTCTCACATTTAATCAGAAATTTCTTCAAAGGGGCAGGGTGTGTGTGTGGGGGGAGAGGGGGATAGTGGTGGCAGCAAGAATATCCAAAACGCAAAACCCAACGCAGAATTTAGGAGCAGAACCAAAGAGTCCAGATGCTTTCCGGTGTCCTACTTGAGCTTCTAAATAAACTGTCTCCCCTGCTGCCCGTTCTCATTTCCCATCAGGCCCAGAGACTGTCAAAAACAAACAACAGACACGCGCAAGGAAGGATGGCAAGGGATTGGCACATCCAGAAAAAAAAGTCATATTTTTTTATCTGCTCCTTTTCCACGATAAAACGAATGGTGCAGTCCCCTGTCCTTCCTAGGTGAATTCCTCGGACATTGAAATCAAGCCCCTTTGTGCCCAGTGATGTGATAGTGGCCGGGAAGCGACTCTGGCGCACACTGAACCTTGTTCTTTGCTCTGGACAAAAGCATCTCTGGGACTGGCATTCTGTGATGTGCTTGCTAAGCAGGAAGGGAACCAGATACTCTGGGGGCGGGGGGTGGGGTGAGGGTAGCGGGGTGCTCTCTGGCTAGCATCACGGTGGCGGGGCCCTGGACCAGCGCTGCGTGCGTGTACTCACCGTGCCCACTGCCCAGTCGCGACTTCTTGCAGTAGTAGGCGAGCGCCTGCTGACAGTGCTCCGCGCGCTGAATCGTGGCCTGGAGCTGCTCCGGGCTGGCGGGGTACTCGAAAGACCCCGCGTAGGGGCTTTCTGGGTTAGTGTGTCTGACTCTGACTAGGTCAGAGGCATTGTGCTGGAGAATGGTCCAGGCAGTTTCTTGTATGCAGAAATGGGGGGAGAAAGAGAGGAGACCATCACTAGTCTGCAAAAGTTAAAATAAATAAAGAAAATCAAAATCACCTTTTATCTGAGTCAATTTTTTCTTCTTCTTCTAGTCATCAAGCCTCTCTGGGAGGTGGGCTCAACACAAATGGATGCGTACATTTAAAAACTGATCCCAAAGTGATTTTCCCCTCCCTGGAATTTATCCAATTGCCATGCATTTTGCAGTGATTTGATTTTACTTTTACATACCACTTAGCCAGAGGATATTTGCAGTGAAAGACATAAAGAAACCAGATTATTAGATTCTTCTTCTTTTTTTTTTGTAATATATTTCATTTCCTCTGATCTGGCATTCTACTTTTAAAGATGCATCATTATTGTGTTTTCCTCCAAGAAGGACAAATAAATAGTGCCTAGTATAACTGTAAGACATTGATGATTGGCACCCCCTGAACTCAGATATGGTACAATGTGGGAGTCGGGTGCAAATAAATGAACCTCAGAATCTGTGAAGGATTTTAAGCCAGTGTGTAATTAGTGATTACTCTTTTAAAAAAATCATTCATGCTAGAGGCAAAAAGAAATTTAATTTTTAATGGTTTATATCTATTTCTCTTTAGACACCATTTAATTAGGAGAACACAACTATATCTTCTTCTTCTGTTTTTTTTTTTTTTTGAAGATGCAAGGATGCTCCAAATAGGGCTGAGGAAGGGCAGGGCAATGGGTGATTTTCTAACCCCTGGACATTTCAGTGCAGTGCTGCTAGGCCCTGGTTGTTCCAGGAGTCTCTGGGGTCACACTCTGTGATGATCGGGGGGTTCCCAGAGTTGTGCCCTGTGATGCTCAAGGGATCATGTAGTCCCAGGAATTAAACCTGGGTCAGTCACATGCTAGGCAGATACCCTAACCATTGTACTATCTTCCAACCTTATTTCTTTTAAAGTCAAAAGAAAGCGTGCATTCTGGTGTCCTGTGATCTGCATGTGAGGCAGTGACAGATGAAACGACTCTCTAACTGAACATGTATGATCAGCATAGCAGGAACTCACAAGAACAAGAAGAAACCTCACTTTGTGTTATTTACTAGGGCCTCATCATTGACACCTGGCTGTCTGTGAACACTGCCATCTTGACGGAAAGAAATCATATGGATTACCCAGCTTATTTAGATGAAATAAAAACCAATGATAGGTACAAGAGCAGACAGGCATATTGTAGCTATCCGTCATCGTTCCCTGCAACAGCCTTCATGCTGTATTTACTGTGAGAAATGCAGGCACAAGAACGGATTAATCAAAGGGCCGCTGATTTAATAGGTAGGAAACAGATTGGAAGTTGTCAAAACTCTACTATGTATGAGCTGTTAAGTCACATAACTCTTCTGTGTTTCGGAGGAGTATTTCCAACTGGAGGGGAACAGCAGCTAGAACTTTCTCTCCTGACCTTAGCTAGGACATTTGCATGGATGAACAGCCCAGCAAGACACAAGGCACACTCTGAGAAATTGCACTCTTACCCTTCCTTCTCCAGGTCACCAGTCTTTTGAATTCAAGAGCTGGCAACACAAGACATGAGACAAACGGGCAGGTGTGCTGCCTTCCCTGTGTGGATCACTGAATTTTGAGAAAACGGTTCCTACTTCTGCTGACCGATCACACTCACTCAATAGCTCTATCAGTAAAACTCTCTCTATAAGCTCAT